AACGCTCACTACCCCGCGCAAGGCACACACAGGAGGGCGCTTCCGTGGGAGCTGGAGCACGTGCACGGCTTGCTCGCGACTACCAACTGACTGACACACGGACACACGTACACCCACTCGGGGCGGCAGTGAGAATTGCCCGATCGACAGCTGACAAGGCAGAATTTTCAAAAGTGACCTATGATTTTCAGCACTTCCAAAATTAGGAATAGGAAAGAAATGAAGCAACGGTACAGCTACTTACTACTTCTTAAATATCCGTGCTGTATGGTCAATTCTCGTGATTCATGGAACACCAAGGCCAATTCCAAAATTAAGCACCTATAAACACGAGTGAGAAAAGCATAACAACGCACGGGCTCTATTATTTACGTACTTTATGCTAATGCAATGTGTATGTTTGTTATCAGTACGCTATGGGATACAGCATTAAAAATAAACCAGCCTGCAGTAACTATACCCCTTAGGTTTCACAAATATTGCCGGTAGGTATAATGGTGCTTTGCCTGCATTTACTTCTCTGTTTTGTAAATACAAATATTTGGTCAAGGCATCTGCTCAGTCAAGAGCTGTGACTGCCGATCCAGGGGCAGGGTCTCGGACCTGTGCACAGTGGAAACCCACCTAAATGACTGAGTATACAAATCACCAGTCGGGTGGTTAATTCTTTACGCACTTATGATGATGCACAGTCACTCAACCAGCACAAAGGTTAGATACCTGTACTTGAAAATCAGACCTGTGAGTTGTTTAGAATAGAATTTAATAAAAGAAAATGCAGAAAATGTAAGTTAGGTTATGTTACTTTTAGGTTCTGATTATTCTTATTATTGCTACTTGGAATTGTTTGGAAAACAAATACGTTTTGCAATTAGACCCCTGATCTATGAAAACACTTCAGCAACTGTATAACGAAACATGCGAGTAGTCACTTTAATGAAATTACTACTTGTATACATGAATTACCCACTCATTTTAAGTGATTTGCTGGATCAAAGCCTTTCTGTTTCAATTAAAGCAGCAGAGTTAGAGTAATCTAACAACTCCAGTTTGGAGAAAATAACAGACCAAAGGTGTCTGCATCAATAAAGATATTCCCGGAGGGAATAAATGGTACCTGTAGGAAGTGCCCATATAACTACACCACATCAAGTATAATTATCTGTTCAACTTTTGTTTTTCACCTAAAAGATGGAAATATATTTCATTTCAAACCTCGTAAGAAAACTGCACTACTCTGAGTTTGTGCAGGGGCTGAAGACGTTAATACTGCAAGAGCTTGGACAGACCCCACTGTTTCAAATACCACTTCTACTTTTTAACTGAGGTAAACAGAGTACATCAGAAATCTCCAGCGAAGGCTCCTGAAGTGTCAGAACAGCTCATTCAAAGCGATACGTTCTCTGCTGGTAAAGATTTTAGTATTATAATCACAAATTCTCTCCCTCAGATGCACCTGAGAAGCATTAACTTCTTGGTGACTTTAAGAACCAAATCCTTTAATACAAACCTAGCTTTTCCCACAGGCACTTGAAAATATTTAGCGTTTTTTTCAGTTGAATGTAATTTTCATAATAAAGTAGCTCACTCTGCTACCTGACACCACAGACAAAGACACGGAGCGAGCAGCTCCTGCCAGCTTCGGCAGAGCACGATCGCAACCCCCAGTTACATACGTAAATAGGCTTTTAAACATCCAACTGCTGCAACAACTCAAGCAATTTATGCATTATTTGTTATTGTTATTTATTTTATTCATTATTTGTAACGTATGTCTTTTATTCCGTAACGTTCAGACTCAGCTCTTGCATACCCAATGTCTTTCACTCAACCTTAACGGAGGATACGACAGATCTTAAATTTCTGTAACATTTAAATTCTACCTCTGTGACCAGTTTGAGGATACCAAAGCAGCCCTTTGCTACTCTAAAACCAATTTGGATGCCTAATTTTAATTTCTCTGGTTTAGGGCCTGGAGATCAGAATTTGCTTAATATAATATCCCTTCTGCTACGAAGTAGATTCCTCCACATAAACACACGCCCCTTTGCAAATGGCACCGGCTCATCACTAACGACGCTGGTCCCTACTTTTAGTCAACTGTTCGCTTAAATTTCACTGGCAAACCTCTCAGAAAAGTGCTGGAACGAGGTATATTTTTTTCCTGTGCCAAAATACTCGGTCCAGTCTATCGACTCTGAAACGTTCATAGTTAACTGCATCCCTGGCAGCGTCAAGGGTGTCATTTTAAAAGTACGGTGTATTTTGTTAAATCAAGCCGTACAACGATCCCGTTTTACTTCCATCCACTTAGCCTATTAATGCAGGCTAATACCGCATGTTCTTGTGGCAGCAAACCCTAAAGTGTACCAGGAGACTGCAGTGATAGATTACATGTACATGCTGTGTCATATCCAATTAACTCAAATTGACTGTGTACTGCATTATGCTGTTAGTGCATGGAAGATCAATAAATATGGAGAAAATCCAACGAGGCGCTCTCCATTCCCATCCAATTCTAGTAGGTCTGAGACAGATCATGCTCCTATGATGTGTGTGCTGCTGCTGAAGAGGGCAGGTGGTGCATAGACACCATTCAAACTTGGCCTATTCAATCTAAACTCCTCTAACTCGCCATTCATGCATAGCAAAACACCATCTGGTCCTATTTTGCCTCCAGCAATCACAGCTGACCAAAAACGATAATAACAGCTGTTGCAAAACAAAAGCCAAACAAAGGGGGGAGGGAAAGGTTAGAATGAAGTCCAGTGCTGCAAAATACTCCATGAAGTGAGAAATGGAAAAGGAGCCATTCAAATAGCCAATCCCCATTGAAAAGAGTCCGTACAAGACTTCTGGTTAAACTTGAGATATTTAATCCATCTGTCCTGCAAACCACAACGGTCAGGTGATAATATAAAATTGAGATTACGTTGCATAGAGGTATTTAAAGCCTTTGTTCTCCGAGTTAGAAACTAATGACCCTGTGTCAGCTAAAAATTAAACCTCCTTATGTTCTTTCATCATGTGTCAGCCTGGGTTAATGTGAAAGTAGAATGTGGTTAACCGGGGTGATAAAGCATCTGAAACCTTGGGAAAAGAAGGGAGCAGTTAAGTGCTTGTAAATGATATGAAGGAAAACAGTCTTTAAACCGCACACAGCACCGAAATCATACGGGTGCTGCATTTCTCCTGTATAAATCGCACATTAAGCGATTTAAATTAACAGTTTTATTTATGACCTATGATAGCAAAGTTATTCACTTAGACTTAGGGAATATGAACACCAACTTGCACAGTTTGAAACACAAGATGTTCTGCAATATGCTATTGTGGGTAATGTAAAACACAATTTTGTAGCAAGCAGAGGGACGCCTCGGCTTTTCGGGATTCAAATTTTGATATTTAAAATGTACAGTCCTGCTCGATGATTAATTTTGTTTAGCTGCAGTAATTAAAACTATTTTTCCTGGAATTGACCATCAGTAGTGCAGCAGCTCTTAATCAAATGTGATAAAACCCAGGATTTATGAAATCATTTAATGAGTGCAATAACACCTGCCTCTCGCTGCAAATAGTTGAAAACAGACTTCAGTTGTAATTAACTCTTATCACTAGTGACATTTTTCCAACGATACTTCATAGGTCTTCAGAATGACAATTACAGAACTAAAACACAATTACTGTCACATGCAGTTCAGCAATTATTTCTGAAGACATTTGTCTAAAGGTTTCTAAACGACTATAAAATGGTTCCCCTTGTTATGTAACATTGGTTAAAACCGAGACACACAAAAATCTCTCCCAAGCAGCCTGCGCCGTGCCATTTCTAACGCAGGCAGGCTTCCTCACGCTTGGAATAAACATCCTCTGGCCCAGACATTATTAGAGATCATACTAAGGCTATTATGAGCACGGGTAGCTGTCAACTAACACCTATTACCAACAGCTTCAATTTATACATGATTTTTTTTCCTGCTCCAAGAAATCTATAAATTTATAATTAGAATCTCTTGCTGTTCAATATTTGTACATAATAAACAGAGAACCTGAGGATGATGAAATATTGAAAGCTGAATTCATTATTAATAAACTCAGACAGTACAGTACCTCTTCCCTCAAGTCTGGCTGCAACTTTTGGGGGATCTATATTCCATTCTTTTTTTGGTCGTGGCCGGTGCGTGGTAGCCATGGACACTGCCTCAAACAGGATTAGGATTCTGCTCAGGTTTGACACTTGCTGGTTTTAATTTTCATTTTATCATAAGCAGTTTAAGATTGTTGCCAGTGGTAATTTGCAATTTTTATCAAGACCTCTTCATTATAGCTTCTGACAGGACAGATGCTGTAATTAATCATGCAAGACAACTGGGGATAGTGGTCAGACTGCACTCGCGGCGCAGCTCTTGCGGGCAAGGAAGAGAAAGAAGAAAATAAAGGATTTCTCCTCTCTGTCAAGAGTAAAAAGGTATAAACAGCACTAATATCCCGACAACACGCTGGATGCGAATGTTTCCAAACCCTTCAGAGGAAGCACCTGCCCTCTCCACCCCTCCTCTATCCCGTCCTACTTTTGTGCTAAAACCTAAGAAGTCAGACGCTCGGGATCAGAGTTGGGGGCATACAGACGGGAAGCCCGCCGCAGTAGCTGCGCTCACATCTGAAACTCAAAGATACAAAGAAAACCACAATTTGTGCTTATTTGCATCTCTGAACACTACTGCTGAGAGGCGGGTTCGCTGTCCTGCTCCTGCGGATCAATGCGACGCAGGGTACGCCGAACACTTTGTCGCTCTGCCACCTGCTTGCCTTCTCCGAAGTAAGGCGCGGAAACCTCCGACTCTTCAGATGGACGCTCGGTTCCCATCGGTACCTATTCACCCAGTACGTTTGATAAAATAAAAATCCAAAAAGTTAAATAAACTTCCCAGGAAAGTGTTTTCGGAAGGAAACGTTTCTGGGGTTTCCATCAAAGACTTATGCCCATCGGTTTTACTGAAATGTCTTTATTCTATAGCAAGATAAAAGCATTTATTTTAGATAAGCAAAATACAAACAACTTAATTGCTGCTATCATAACTCATAAAAAAGTATAAAACAGCATAAAAACACAATAAGCAATGTAGCAATTAATAATTCATGTTACCAGTGTTTACATTAAAGCCTCATTTATGAAAACTTTACAACACATGATATGAAAACTTACAACTTTTAAAGAAAATATTTACATTGATTATTCGGTTGTGGAGTTTCATTTAAATATTCTACTGGGTTTACAGCGTATTAAAAACTCTTGCATCTTTCATCTTAGCTTTCTGTAATAACAGTTTTATTTAAGTGCATTTCCCTTTTAAAAATACAGTGTATTAAATCTGAAACTCATCACTTCGACACAGAATATAATATTCACATTTGTTCTGTAATTGGAATTAACGCAAGAGGGTAAATGTCAATATATATTTTCTTACAAACTATGGTAGGTTTATTTGGAGAAATGACGTGAAAGGTTGGGTCAAACATTTAAGTTCAGTTACTTGCATTTGTTTTTCTGAAGACATTTAGGAGAGAAAAAAATTAAGAGCTTTGGCAAAAATCTGTGATTTACTCTATTTTTTCATGACAAAAAATGCCATCAACTAACTCATGTCATACAAGTGTGATTGTATGAAATCCAATCATCATTTTACAGGTAGTTACAACTGTGCTTTAAGGGCTTCATGAGTTCCTACTGCCTTGAAGTGCATGATTCACTTTTAGCGAAAGAAGGGTTGTATCATATAACTCTGAAAGGCCATTTTGCAGTCATAAGGTCCAGGTATTTATTAGGCCATTTGATTCACATATTGTAGGTAAAGCTTAAATAAATTAAAAAGGCATCACATGAAAAAGAGCACAGCTTTTTTTTTTATTTTTTTTTTTAAACAAAATGATTTATAGTCAGCTAAAAGATGATACACAGCTACATTGTAGTTCTTTATTGCCTATCTAATAGACACTTTAGAGGATCATTTGATCTGTTATGCATCCCTGCATAACTACCATCAACAATTTACAGTTTTCAGCCAAATATGGTTTACCCCTACCCCCTCCATCAACACAAAGCCATGTTGCAAGAGCATTTATCTTCAGAAAATACTGACCTGCGATAATACTTGAGTCTGTGTCTGAGATTGTATTTGTGACTGGTGCTGCTGAGGTGCTGGCTGAGGGCTCCCGATGGCAGGGATGGGAGAAGTGATCTGCGAGGCTACGGGAGAATGCTGCTGAGGAGAAGGCTGGGACTGGTGTTGCATATGCTGCATTTGCTGCTGCTGCATCTGCTGAAGCTGTATGTGCTGCAGCTGCTGTTGCATTTGCTGCTGATTAATTTGCTGCTGAAGATGCTGCTGCTGCTGCAAATGTTGCTGCATGTGGTGCTGAAAATGCTGCTGTTGCATTTGTTGTTGTATTTGCTGATGCATTTGATGCTGATGTAGTTGCTGCTGTTGCATCTGCTGCATCTGCTGCTGCTGGAGCTGCTGTATCTGGTGCTGCTGGCTTTGCATGGAGGGACTTACTTGAGATGAAGATGGAGTTGCCACCATACTCGTTCCCATAGAGCTTATCAAGGGAGCCGCAATGTTTGTTGGCATGTTTGGTGCAATGGTAACGGAAGCTACAATCTGGTTCATTGGCAGTCTCATGGTTAAAGGTTTTGGAGCAATTGCTCTGGGAAGGGACTGTTGAAGAGTTTGAGGAGATGCAGACACTGTTGAGTGTTGAGAAAGAGAAGTATTCAGAATAAGGGAGGAAGACAAATTTGTGGACGCCAACGTTTGCTGTACAGAACGAATTGTCTGGGCCTCGGCAGATTCTGCAGCAGCCTGCGGTTGGAAAAGAAATTCATTGTATTTTTAACAGAAAAACCATTGTTACTGTTTACGTGGAAGTAAAAGTCACAGCTACTCAGGGAGACTTTTTCGTCTTTTGTTTTCTATCAGAAAAGATCAATCAGCGTCTGAAAAAGATCACTGATCCACCCATCAATTACATCACCTCTTCATCTGTCTCTGTATATGGTACCTCCAGTTCTTACTTGGACAAAAAACTAACTCGTGCCCTTGGTCAACACCAGAAAGTCACAGAAGTCACGTACATTTGGGGCTGAAGGAGCTAAAAAGGGCCCAACACTTTCTATAATTACACGTTTTCAAAAAAACCCCCGTTCTTTGGGAGACAAACCTGAACGGAAGCATATCCCCCCAGACCAGGTATCATGGCGTAAGAGTAGCGTACAAACTGCGAAACTTCCCAAACAACTTCTTTAATTTGCCTGCTGTAGTTCTTCGCATCTAACGCGTCAAGACCTAGGTGTCTGCAACAGGCAGAAGTCTTGGGCAACGTTGTCCCGGCACCCGGCTGAATCCTTCGGAAGCTGCACCAGCGGGGTGCCCTGCCTAGGGAATCCTGCCGGCTTCAGCGTCCTGCAGGTTTCTGACCCACGCCTGGGGGAAACCACAGACTGCAGAGCCCTATTGCAATAAACGAGGCGTGCCAGTGCCTTTGAAGGCATAGTAGTTTTAGTAGGTATATTTAAATATATTGTGTATGTTTAAATTGGATATATTTAACCACCAAAGGTAGGATTCGTCTCTCTTAGTTTTACACATCTGCATGGTACACGACACGTAGAATAGCTGCCTAGAATCCCGATATAAAGATGATGGAGAGAAAAAGCACAATTAACTGACACGTTTTAGACATTTACTTCAGAATGTGTCAAATTATGCTGCAGAAGTGTCTCTCCCATCCCTACGACCTCAGACGAAAAAGCTCCAGCAAGGATGTCTTAGGTTAAGGGATATGGTCGATGGCAGAGGGGCTGTGGGTGCCCTCTCCCTGGCAGTGTTCCAGGCCAGGTCAGATGGGGCTTTGGGCAACCTGGGCTAATGGAGGGTGTCCCTGCCCATGGCAGGGGGGTGGAACTAGATGGGCTTTGAGGTCCCTTCCAACCCCAACCATTCTGTGACTCTATGAATTCTGGCCTTAGAGTGTATTTTCCACTGACAATCCTCCCCCAAGTTACTTGGCAGCACAGCTCCCATGGATTTGGGGAGAAAATATGATTTCTGACGTTTTTGGAAAAGGGAACTTAGGACTGACAAAATAAACTCCCTCAAAGATATTTACAATTCCAGCTGCCACTGAACTTAGCACTGTGACACTAAAGGCTTTGAGAATATTATCTAAGTCCTAGAGACAACAGAAAAACGCAGCTTCTCAACATAAGAAGAGTGTTCTCTCCAGCTTGCGAGAACACGCGTGGCTGATTTTTGCTGTTGTATTTCTAAGCATTAAAATACACAGCAACTTTCTGTGTGATCTACTAATGCTCTCCAGTTGTACATTCAAATAAGTATTCTCAGGAGTTCGATATCGTCATTGTCCTCTGTTGCTTTCTTGTGATCAAAGATACTTTTGTAATTGAACTTTATGAAATACTATTGGACAAATAACCACTTTGATTATTTCTTTACCTATATTTTAGATGGCCATAAGCATATTTCCATTATGGTATTCAGATGCAACAGATCTACAACCAGTGTAATGCTGCCGGTTAAAAAGGTAAATTCTCAAATAAGACAGCAGAGCTTTGTTTTCTTCACGAGTTTTATTTTAATTCAGGATCTGCTAAAATACTCCACGTGGCTTACTGCCAGCTAGTCCATTTGTAAGTACTCTCCAAATTCAGAGCCACCACGCATTTTTTTTTTCCCCTCACCTGCAAGAAATACTTAAGCTTTGTCATACAATAACTGCTCTCCAGCTCCGCACAAAACAAGTCTGTCTTTTGAGAAGTAGCACTTGAGGAAAAACAAAACTCTGTGAATAGCTTGCAAATGTTAATGTCAAAAGGTCAGTCTATTTTTCATGACTGAATTTTACTTTTGTAGTGAAGTGCATTATTTTGCCTCCATAGATAAAGGAACATGTACATTTACAAAGTTATTGTTTGGTAATCATTACTGTGCCATTAGAGAGATGAATTTTTTATTTATTTTTTTTGCAGAGACTAAGCAGGATTCAAGCAGCAGCAGCAGCACAACGTCTCGTGGAGCTGTATTACAGAAATCCTAGGATTCTACTTTTCTTTTGCATAACACGCCCCAGCCCCATATTTAAACAGCATTGCCAAAAGCTAACTTGCATTGCGCTGAAGGCATTATTAGGCTTACCTTAGAAACAAGGCTTGCTCTATAGGCAGCAAGTGCCTTCAGGTATTCTTTTTTGGCAGCTTCAGTTTTTCTCTTATATACCTATTAAAAGAGACCAGAATTTCACCAACTTCGATTATTAAGACTTTTTGCCAGAATGTTCTCAAAAATCCCTTGCAAAGAAACAAAAAGCCATAGACCAAACCCCATGAAAACACTCTGCTGTTCAATGAGCTTTTTCTTCCCTGCAAGATCTAAATATTCTTTCAGGTGATTACACACTCCTAGGTCTACTCGCTGGACTTGCACCACAATTTATGTTGCTTTATGGTGAATAAAAAAAGCTGCTAGAGCAGCCAACTGTTTGATAAGACTACCTACGCACACTTTACCTTCCCAGGAAATGCTATTTTAATGACTCTAACTAACAGGGATATCCACTGAGTAGTTCAGATGCTAAAAAATAGCTGCAGTAGTATAAAATAGCAAAAAATGCCGATGAAATATTTTTTTAAACAAATATTCAAACTACATATAAAAATAAATCTTTGTAACTTTAGAAAAGGTGGTTCATAGAGCTTGAACAATTCACTTTCCCCAAAGCCAGTCCGAGGGAATCCCATTGAGTTAAACAGGAACAGTTGGGCAAAAATGAGTTAATCTGTATTTTTTAATCAGCAGTAAATTTAAAGTTCCCCTTTAAATTACATTCACCATCATCTGTTAGGGCAGACTAAAGCTTTCCCAATGTATTTCACAAACAACTATCGTTCGTATCTTGCCAGAAGATGCCCTATACAGGAATCGCTGCTGCCATCGCAGCTGCCATTAACTGTTACTGGGAGCTGCATGGAGTATCAACAGGCAAACAGCCTCTAAGGATCTCTTTTTTTTTCTTTTTTCCCCTTCAATCTGTGTGTAGGAGTTACATGCGTATGGAAAGAAGAAGAACCCTCAAGGAAGAACAAAACTCATCATTCTGTACCAAGTTTGAGTTGGAGATAACATTCCACACACGACGTTGTAATGAGGCACAGAGGACTGGCTTCAAAGGTTGGAAATCAACACGCTTTGTAACACATTCATAAGGCAGATCAAAGGAAGATGGTAAATGTGCTGTACCTTCCCCTTTTCTCTTCTAACTTCTGATTAATAGGAAACAAGAGCTTTGAAATAGGAATCATCAAAAGATGGTCTGAACAGGACTCTAGGACAATATCACCTGAGATTTTTTTACAAACTGCCCTTTAAAATGTAAAGACAAATATAGCCATTTAATACCACCCTACCAGCTCTCAGAACAAAATGCTTTTTAGGTGCCAGGTCTTCAGCAAGTTCAAAAATCAGTGTAGCGCTACAGAGTAGGAGGTCTACATCAGCAAGCAGCGTGGTCCGCTCAGAACAGAGGTAAGAGGATTTTTTTTTTTTTTTTACAAGGATTACTACTTCACTTCTTGTGAGACAACCCTGCATCAATTTTTTTACCTGTTTTTGTTCTTCTCCTAAACTGTCCCACATAGACGCCACTATTTTTGAAACCTCTCCAAACGTAGCGTTCGGGTTCTGCCCTTTAATTGCAGCTTGTGTATCCCTGAAGAAAAGGGCATACGCTGACACTGGCTTTTGTGGCTCATTGGGATCTTTCTTTTTCTTCTTCTTTGGAGTCTTGGGCTTCTTGCCAGAATCTGGGGCCGCTCTTTTTTCTCCAGTAGCCTAAGAAACAGTAATAACAAGGCCAGTCAATGTCTGCATGAAATAAGACAGACTAATTCAAAAAAATTATTGACAGTCTGGCTTAATACTATATGGCTAAAGCTACTATGTAAGCAAGGCTTTGGAGAGTCCTGTTGCGCAAGGCTTTCTCCTGCAAAACAGTACTTAGGCTCAGCTTAATCTCATTAGATCTGCTGGAACTAAATGCGTGAATAGTTACTACTCATCGTAAACATGGCTCAGAGAGTCAAATCCCACAAGCTTGACCTGAAAAAGTACATCCTAATGGTAATTTGTATTTTAAAAAATTAAGATTTAATCTATAGTATATTTTGAATAGGCAATCTATGGTTTTCCATTAAGATGTAATTTCAGCAGTAGAGACTCAAAAGACAAGAGCTTGGAGGCATTTCCCGATTCCCAGACTTAAGAGTGCCAACTCGACGTGGGTCAGGGGTTAGAAAGCCCACCCCTGAGGCAAACAGCAGCAGGAACTCTACAGGTCCCATCCACCCGCTGTGCCCGG